CTTGTGAATTTTTGAAAACACTGAAAAACAAACAATTATGAGATTTTAACTTATCTGATTTGATGGAGCTTTTTTTTTTTTTTTTTTTTTTTTTTTTTTTTTTTTTCTGGAACCAGAGATGACTTGGCACTTGAAAGAATTTGATGAATGTGACTTCCAGTGTATGGACATTTATTTTCATTTGAGCTCATTTGGCTGCAGCACACAAAAAGAACGTTTTCATCAGTCATTTCTCAGTTAGAATTTGGGAATATGGAAATAAAAAAGGCAAAACTGACTGTGAAATACAATCTCTACATATAGTCAGACTTTTGGCCATCTTGATTTCCTTGTCCCCTGTATTCCACACACAATACTGTGGCCAGAACAAGCTACTGTGGATGTGAGAAGAAAATGCACGTCATTCTGATTTAAAGCACATGTCTCAACCACTCTGTCTTTCCTGAGAATTTAGCCAGTGGTAACACATTAAAACACTTTAGAGTCCATTCAGCACAGGGCTGTGTTACATATGCATGCTGGCCTTTTCATTAAAATTCATGAGTAGTAATGCCTTAAATTTGCCTACTACAAGGATTTTTTTTTGTTTGGATAGCCCAGACAGGCTCATAAAAGCCACCAGTGCTTTACATTCTAGATCCAACTCCGCAACAATAAGTCTTTAAAAATTGCACATATAAGGAATTAAACCAAATGCCACAATATAAAGAACACTGTAAAACCATCACATTGTATTACTAAACTGACAACTTAATCATTTCCTGTAAGATTAGTCTCTGTGCCCTGGCTGAATTAGAAGAGATCTTACATTTTGTGGCTAGAATTCCAGTAAAATTGGCCAATGATACGCAAATATTTTCCTCTCCACTGAAGACTCCAAATTAATCATTTCTGGAAAGCAGGCTATTTATTTTTTATTTTTAGTAATGGTAGCATGAATAAGTTCTTAAACTAGGGTAATAGGATGTATAGTAGGTTGCCACTAACCCTTTTAGCTAATCCATCAATGTTTTGTCATCCTCACCTGAGAAGGGATCTTTTCCCTTCACTTCTCACAAAAGGTTTAATGTTGGATTTTCACATTTTACAAAAGACTTAGCCAAGTGCATAACATGACAAATATGGGTAATCCTGCTGATGGGATAACTACAGGGAATGAGGTTTTGGACCTTGTGGCAGAGGCTCCCCTGTGACAGCCTCAGAATGAGTCTGCAGACAGGTTTGAGTATAGAAAGGCTTTGAATTTATAATGATTTTGGTTTAGAAATTATGTAGAGTCTGCTTATTGAAACAAAGAAAAGTATTTCATGAACTTGTCTAATTAATAATGACAAGAATAGATGATATGAGTTTCCTATCAAAAATGACAAACAACCAGGAGAATAATTGAGTCCTGGATTATGGAAGAATTTCTAGATTTTTAAATCAAGTTTGATTTAAATTCTCAACCAAAATTACCTTATAAACATATGTGCAGGACCTTGGTTTATACCTCATGAAGATGAATTCTTCAACTACCTAGAGACTTTTCAGCAGATTTTGTAAACTAGAGAATGTAGCAATGACGAGTAATCACTGGTATTTTTATGTGTTTTTAATGTTTATATTTCAATTAAAGTTTTTTTTACAGTTCCCTAAATTTTCAGAATTTATTTCTTGCAGTTCCCTACATTTTCACTCCTAAATTTCCCCTTTTTTTTTTTCCCCTTTGGAATTGATAATCCATAGTTTGAGCAGCTCTTGGGAAGGTGTACAGAAGTATTCAGTTGCTGTTTTAAACCTCAGAGCAGTGCAAGCAGGACAGTGGTGGTGATGCAGAGTTTGGTGTGTGACAGCTGATTTTTTGGCACACTCAGTAGCACCCCTGCACCTGCAGTTTGCATTTTGAATTTAGCACACCATTTGTGATTTCACAAATGGTGAAATGATTTTCACAAAACCACCATTTGTGATTTTCAGCTAATAATCCCTGGACTCTGGCAGCCCAACACATGTCCCATTCAGCCTCATCCTTGCTGGGATTATGGTAACCTCTGGCAGAGAAGAAAGTGGGAGGCAGGGAGTGATGACTTTTGTAGTTCCCATGCCAAATGTGATGCAAGGGGTTGAAGTTAGTTTGAGAACATCTGTGAGCTGCACTTGAGGAAATGACAACTCTGCAGGTATCTGTTAGGAAGCACAACTAAAAGCACATTGCTCCCCTAGGGAGTCCTAAAGGAGATGTGGTATTAGATTTTTTTTGTCATGTGATATAATTTAATTTAATTAAATAGGCTAAAGGAGAAAAGATCTGTCATGGTTTAACCTCAGACAGGCACTAAGCACCACACAGCTGCTTGATCACTCCTTCCCAGTGGGATAGGGGAGACAATTGGAAGGGTAAAAGTGAGAAAACTCATGGATTTAAGAGCTCGAGCAAATGCTGTACACACAAGCAAAGCAAAACGAGGAATTCTTTCTCCACATGCCAAGCAGGCAGGTGTTCAGCAACCTCCAGGAGAGCAGGGCTCCATCACATGTAATGGTTACCTGGGGAGACAAAATCCATTACTGTGAACATCCTCTCTTCCTCCTTCTTCCCCAGCTCTGTTTGCTGAGCACGATCCATATGCACTGGGACATGGCTGTGGTCAGTTGGGGTCACTGTCCTGGCTGTGTCCCCTCCCAGCTCCCTATGCACCCCCAGCCCCACACTGGTGGGGTGTGTGAGGAGCAGAAAGGCCTTGGCTCCGTGTGAGCCCTGCTCAGCAAGAACTGAAACATCCCTGTGCTACCAGCACCGCTTCCAGCACAATCCCAAAACTAGGGTAAGCGGCCTAAAGAACACCCCTTATTCTTATAGCTACATGACACTACAGGTAAAACAGACTTAAGATTTACCCTAGCTGTATTCTTTCCTCCAGAACATTTTGCAAAACCAAAGAAGGAGAACATTCCTTTGCCTCTCCTTTCCCCTTTTCTGATACAGCTGCTGAACTCTGTGCATAGCTGGGCATTCTACAGGCAAACAGATTGCAGTATGAAGGACTTCATGTCCACACAAAATATTAGATAAGCCTGGTCCTTCTGTAAATCCATTTCATGCCATGTTCAGAGAACATGCCCAGTGTCTCTAACTCTTGTCACTCGGAGAAAATGTAAATATTTCTTCCCCTTCTCAGAAGTCTGATGTTCTTCCCCATTCCCACTCTCCATGTTCTCCTATTTAGTACTGCCCTGCCTTCTTGCTGCTAGACCAGGCTTTAAGTGGGAGTGAATCTTTGACCATCCTTCCTCAAACCTTTTGCTGTGCCATGTAGCCCTGGCAGGCCTGGAGTGGTTTATGGATTTGATTTGTTTACATAACTCCAATGTGAAGGTTACCCTGTGAAAGTTCTCAGAGCGTCCTGAGTGAAAACAGGAGTTCAGCTCCTCCTTCAGGGCCCTTTATAATTGATGTTCTTTGGAAGAAAAGAGGTGGGATTATTTTTTTCTTGTAGGCTATCTGGGAAAGTCTTACTTTCTCACAGTAAATACCAGAGCACCTTTCATTTTTGACCACTGAGGTGGCTTACAGACAGGACTATGGTTTCTGGTGTATGTACAAAATTCAGGCTGAAACTCATAACCTGTCAATTTCACTGTTATTACAGGAATAAATTTAAATAATATATATCTGTTTCAAATAAGTTGCATAGTTAAGCTCTTGCTTGACTGCAGCATCTGGGATTCATCAAATTATTATACAGCTGGTTAGATGTAAAATACATTTGTGTACTCAGTGTCTGTGTTTTCTGTTTCTGTGAACTATTAGTGTTTTATTTTCTATTTGTTTGAAATAAGCCAATTTTTCATACTCTATATTTGGATTGTATGGACGGCTGAGTTTGGCAACTTCCATCATCCAAACCAAATTTCTATTATGGAGAGAATTAAGTTACATTTTATAAAGTGAGTCTATCATTAATTTGAGTCATTATGAGAAACAACAGATAGTGTAACTCATAGGTATAAATAGATATGCAAAGACAAATTAACATTATTGTGTTTACCTGTTATTGGAAAGTAATCTTATTTATGCTTTAAAGCATAATATCACTAGTTTCAATGTTACAGTTCAATTAAAATTTATTTTGAATGTTTTAATTTTTTTTTTCAAAGTAGAGGAGTTAATTGTAGAGAAGATTTGATCTCAGAAGCTGAACCAGATGGTGATCAGGGCAGCAGGGACTTGTTCTGCTCCAACCTTCCTGCCCTCCCTCAGACTGTAAAACAGTACTTCAACATTGGTAATGCCAACTTCCATGACCTCAGCATTCAGAGATGTTTTTCTTACAGCGTTGCCATTTTTCAATCCCATAATTTTTAGAAGCCCTGATCATAATTTTGGAGTAGCTGAGTTTAGCAAAATGAATTTTCACCAGTGATTATAGAATATTTCTGAGGTCCCAATTGTTTTGACAACAGAGGAAAGGTTTCCTTGCTTTCTGCTTCTTTGGATGCTTAGAACACTGACAGCCTTTCCTAGAGCAGTTCAGGTGTTCTGGTCAAGGGATAAATAAAAAATCCCCTCTCACTGTGCCAAGCATTCTACCTGTCCTTGCATTCATGAAACAGTTCTGGTGTGCCTCTGCTGGTGGGTGAGTTCAGGAGGCTTCCACTGATTTTGAGCTTCATGAAACAATGCCCTGCTGCCTTTGCCTCATTAACCCTTGGGTTAATAGCATGATTTCAGAGTAGTGATGAAGCTTATGCAGGTCCATGATAAGGGATGTGCTGGCCATCAGGAAGGTTTTGGGGTTTAGGGCAGTCTTAGATGAGAATGCCAGCTCCTAAAGGCAGTTTGCTGTGGGATCATATGCCTTTTGTGCTGTGATGTGTTTGTTGACAAATGTGACATTAAGAAATTTAGGAGGAAAAAGAAACCACATTTTCTTAAAGTGTTTTAGATCACTTTGTGGTCTAACCACATGCTCAAAAACTTCCTGAGCTGGAAACAGTCTCCAGATGACCTACAGGCTTTAAAACTTACCAAAACAAAAAGTTCTCTACCACAAAAGCATTCCGATGGTTGTACTCTGCTAGAAAATAGTTCCTCATCATGTGCTTTAATACTTTTAATACTGAAAAATGTTCTGGTTCCTTGTCACCTTTTATTCTCCTGCAGAAAATACAAAGTTGTTATAGTTTAACATAGCTTTTGGCTCATGGGATGGCTTTGTATGCAGAGCAATAAACTGGGGCATACAGTAAAACTATTTAAATTATCCCAAATGTCAGCCAGGCACAACTGTTTTTATTGGCATCAATTTCAATTGCATTTAAACAGCACAATGCACATTTCTAGCATCACATTTGTAGAAAGAGCAGTTTCAATGGAAAACGTTTATCTACTGTGAATATGGGGAATAATTGACCACCATGTCCAATAGTAATTTCAGTTTAGCTATACAATTTCTCTGTGATTTCACTGGGGCTCTGAGCTAGAGGATTTATGATTGAGGCTGACATGGTCGAGCTTTTTTCTGATCTTTGACACTTAAGCTTTCTTGTACAAGTTTCTGTGCTGTTAGAGCAGTGACACTTCCACCATGAAAGACACCACTGCACATTTCCATGGGATTCTGGGTTTCTCTGAACATACTGAATTGTACAGGCTATGGTTCTCCTCTATACCCTTGTGTCAGAGGTAAAGCCAACTCATTTAGACTTACCTGGCTTTAAACCAAAACCCTTGGAACTGTTATCTAGCCTCTGCAGAGCCTGCATCACGTGCTGGAGAAACTCTGCTCTGTTCCCCTGGAGAACATTGTTATCAATACTGGAAGTGGCTGGTCTCAACCCACTTTGGGAATGTTAACTATTCACACCTTCCATTGCAGGGTAATCTGCTCCCAGCCAGCCAAATGTTTACTGGAATGCAAGCTAACCTTTGGAACCTGGCTCTTTAGTTCTCCCAGTTCTATCCTGCAGTTCAAAGGGACCTTAGAAGGGATGCTTGCTGTGAACTGATGTAATATTAAAGCAGGACCAAATGATCAAATTCTAAGTCTTTTTATTGTGACATTATAAAAGCATCCCCTTGTTATAGGTACACTTGGGCTGCTTGTGCAACAATCTCTAAGCTTAAATAGGCACAAATATTCAAGATCTGTGCTCACATCTGCTATGAACTGCAGCCCTTACCTCTCTCCTTACAGTTGATCTTGCTCACCTGAGATAAATATTTTTCAGTACAGATCCCTCCAATCACAAGTATAATTAATATCTTTTTTTGCCAGCTGGCCAGGGTTCATTCTGAAAGTCTCTCTCTCCTGGTCAATAAACAGAATCATTTTGAAAGATTTACCTTTATGTGCTTCAAAGGTCTTGATTTTGCTCAGCTTCATATATGAGTTGACATCTACTCCTAAAAATAAAACATTTTTTTTCAAAATTTGGGAGTTAAACAAACAATTTAACAGAGAGACTTCAGCTTTCCTGTGAAGTTCAATGTTAATAATTTAAAATGAAAAACACCTCAACTATAAGTTTCAAGGTCAAAAGAAACTATTTTTCATTCTTCCTCAATTTTCAGCTTTTAAAATTTAGGTTGATGGTGGAGGTAGAAACCTGCAGGATTTAGACCAATTACTTTTTGGCTATTTTGTATGCCTTAGGAATATTCTGTAGATGGCCAGCATTGAATATAAATGTGTTAGAACTGAGAAGTCTTGTTCTTGGGGTAATTTTTATTTTTGCAGGAGTCAGCCCCTGCTTTTTTGTTGCTACAGGGCACTGTCTCTACTTCATTAAAGCTTACACATATCTAGAACTCGCTTCTAGGAGATGTTAAATACCATTCTTAAAGAAACACTTTCAGAATATAAGCCTAACTATGTTAAAAATTAAGCCAACAAGATTTAATTAATAAAGTGAGTAAAAATTAATGTTTGAAGAAAAATTAGTGGTAAGACAAACTGTACCTGAACCATGTAGTTCTAACACCTGCAATCCTTCAAGATGCTGTAAGAAATCTTTTAGCATCTGTTTAGATTCTTACCAGAAAAATTTTGTGGGATGGTTCCTGAACTATTATTTGTTTCCCTTTGGAATCAACAAATGCTTTCAAAATATATATATATTAATAACTTTTCTATAATATATTTCAGTTTTCCTTGAATTTTATATCAGTTCTGAGCAGCTGTACTGTAAGGTCAACTAAAAGTTGGACTATGAGGTCTGAGGAAAGAACTTGAGTGGAAGCTTTATTTGCTCCCATCTCTCTTGATTTTCAGATCTGTTGCACATAACACCTCAGTGCTTCTGCTGACGTCTTTGCCTGAACTTTGTGGTGTGTTTTTTATACACTTTGTCATAGCTGAACACAATAGAGGTTTGTCTGGTTTAGAATTAAGGGTACAATTAACTGTTCTCTCCAACAAGATAAACAATACTGATTAACTATTTCTTTCTGTGGAAATATAAATCCCTATAAGCAATTCCTGATTCTTTGTAATGTGCAGTGCATCAACCTGAATGAGAAAGCAGAGCAAGCAACCATGCCCACTTTTCAGCTTTCCTTCTTTTTTTTTTAATTAAAAATGTGGTAAGTGAATTAGAGTTTACTTTTTCAAACTCAATCTTTTTAGGATATTATTTCACAAGGCAGATTCTGTGCTATTAAGGAACAAATGGACAAAGGTGTTGGCAACAACCCAGCTTGCCAGATTGGTCTCAATAAGAATTTCTGTGCTAATTATCCTCACTCAGTGCTACAAGTGCAAGCTTTCTACCCAGAAGTCTATAGGCCCTTACAGTTTATTGCTTTTGTCTCATCACAGAAAATCTATGGAGATGGAAGATGTACATCTTCCTGCAGAGTCTCTGTTTGGAATATGTGCAAACAAATAAGATCTTTGGAAAATTACAAGTTCCATTACCAACATTTTATACTGTGAAACTCTTCTGCCTGACTGTCATTTGATTTTTCCTTTTGACAAAGCGGTGGTTTGGGTTTAGTGCTTTGTGAACCGATGAGCAATACATGTGGTTTGGTATTGCCCTGCGTAAATCAAATCAACACAACACTAATGAAATCCTTGAGCACTGTTCCCTCCTCTCACTGTGACTCCCTTTTTCCTGTGTGTCGAATTTTTATAGTGTGGAATTATAGGATGTGAAATGTGAGGCAGATATGAGGCATAAGGGCAATTTTTGGTATCCCTCAAAAGAGGGGCTATGGAATGACTGATACAGAGCTGGCACTCCTTGATCTAGGAGCCTCAAAACTTGCCATGCTCTGGTACTTTTCACTCCTTCTTATGCCATTGATATTCATAACAAGGAACCTCTAATGGAAAAAAACCCTATCATTTACCTTTTCTTCCATTTCTTCGGCAATGGGACCAAATGTGTTTTTTCTCTGAGTTAAAAAAGTGTTTTGTCATTGATTTCAAGGCAGATAAGGCCTTAAACTAAATCCACCACTCACCTGAGACTTCTGAATTGTAACCCTCACCCTTGAGCAGACCAAGGGTCAAACACACTCTCTGTACAGTGTTTAGCACAAACATTATGATCTAAGTGCCTCATAAATCCTGAAAAGATGGATTTTCTTTTTATGGGGATAAATTTTACCTAACTCAAGGTACACCTTGTGTTGAGTGGAGGTATTTGTAAAGATCTTTGAACTTTAATTGCAGTTAAGCTGGGAGCAGTGCAAGCACAGATATTGCAATCTAGTCCTTGTTATCCAGTGGTCATAACACTAATTTTTTAAAGAAGTTCAAAAGAAATAAGTGTGGCTTGCTAGAGCAAACACAAGATGTTGCTAGTGCAGATTTACCATTGTTTGTGTGAGGCTGAGGAGAGTCACAACTTCTGTAGGTATGAAAATGTCCAATAACAGGCATAACAATATTTGTGTTTAGTATGGCAGCAGATAGAGAAATATTAGTAATTAATTATTACATTTAATTAATGCTTGTGCAGCTTTACAAAGAGTAAGTAATATACAAAACCAGCACCTATGGAATTTTTTCCTAAAGGCATAGAAAGCCACCTCTACTGGGGATGAATTCTGTTTTCTCCACGTCAGCTGTTTTAATCTTAAAGCTCTGGAATTCAAGCTGTGTTTATGCTTTACAACTGATCACAATCTCTAAGATTTTATATCCTTTACTATACAAACTTAACTCTGGTCCTATATTTCTAGAGAAACTGCTCATGGAAGCAAGATTTAAAATTTGTTTTGAATTAGTATTTAAGCTTGAGATTAAAATTGGCACTAATGAATTGCAGATGCACACTTTTACTAAGGAGCTGGATATGGCAGGATCACTAAGCTGGCTGGAATAAATAAATTAAAAAATAACTAAAAGGCAAATATTTCAGAAAACAGATATTACTTGCCTGGATCTTGCAGACAATTTCGAAGATAAAGGTGTTGTCATGGTTTTACTTGTTCTCTCCTATTATTGTTGTTGTTTGTTTGTGTCTGGATTTTCATTCAAACTACTCTCAAATTATAGACTCAGTAAAGTTAGAAAAGAACAAGAAGGGTCACCCAGAGCAGGTTGCTCAGCATGATGCTGATGTAATCAGGTTTTCAATATCTCCAAAATCTGTTCAAGTCTCTCTGGACACCAATACAACCATCCCATACAGAACTCACTCCACTATTTTTCATGTACTGTATAAACTCACTGCAGATGTTCTCTGCCCCATTTCCAAGGACATTTAGGAAGGGGTGAAAAGGTAAGGACATGGTATCAGCCCCTGAGATACATCACTAGTGACACTTTCAGCTGGACTTTCTGTGGCTGATTGCACCTTTTTGGGCTCAGCCATTCAGCCAGTTTTCAATCCACTTCCCTGTTACTTAGCTAACCTGTGTTTAAACTATTTATCTGGGGGTGTGTTATGTGAGAGAATGTCAAAAGCCTTGCTAAAGTCAAATAAACACCATCCCTTGCTCTCCTGTCACTCACCAAGCTAGTCAGGCTACCAGCTTGGTCAGGCATTATGTGCCATTTGGAAATTCATCCTGACTGCTCCTGAGAACTTTTACATCCTTCGTGTCTGAAAAAAGATTCCAGGACTATTTGCTTCACCAGATTCACAGGGATGCAAGTGAAGCTGAACAACTTGCAGTTCTTTAGATGCTCCTTCTTTCTCTTTGTGAAGACAGAGATGACTTTTATTTCTTCCATGCCTCAGGAAGCTCGTCTAATTGCCATAACCTCTCAGAGATAATCAGGCAAGGCCATCAGCCAGCTTCCTCAGCTCTCATGGCTGCATCCCATCAGATCCCATGGACTTTTGTGTGCCCAGTTTGTTTAAGTGCTTCCTAACCTCGCCCTTCTCAACTGAGGGCAAATCTTTCTTGCTCCAAAAAGAAGTCCATTAAAAGCAAGATAGAGCAGCATCCTGCCATCAGTATTCAGCCCTTTGATTTTAATCTAATGGGGCATTCTGGTTTTCTTTTTTTCCCATCAAAGTGATCCTGGAAGGTGCTGAGCATCCAAAATTCTGGTTTCTTGGCCTCTGAGTCCTCAAAATCATTTCACAGGATCAGCCTCTCCAGAATCACTTATGAGTTCCGTGTGTAAACTTGAGGAATGAATCCTGGAGATATGACATACATTCTGTTTGTTATTTTAGGCCACTTTATACTTGATCTGATCTTCAAGGTCAGTGTTCTTGTCTCTTTTTAAAGATAAACAAGTTTGTATCTTTCTTTGGCCAGGACATCACATCTCAAAAGTATGTGTGACAGAGCTGCAGTTTACATTTCTCTGCTCCAAGAGTTGGTTCTGACAGCTGCTAGGAAAGGAGCAGAGTGTTGTTCCCTGCCCTCTTTTATGTGCCTTCATCATTTCTGTAATTCCTTCTTGCAGCAATGTCCTGGGAAAGTTTTTATCTGACGTGGGTAGGTGATAACACAGTGGTCACACAGATGTGAAAAATGGTGACGTTCATGTACCATTAGCAAGATTTGAAAGTTGTTGTCTTCACACAGGGTTTGTGCTCTCTACCAAGAACCTTCACACTGAGGGATATTCTTTAACTATTCCACACCAGGCCTTTAACAGAAAGAATTTATGACAGTTATCCAGGCAATTTTCCTATGTCTCAATATATTTATAGTGCAGTTTTTGTGATATTTTGTGGATTTTTTTTTTGTTCAGCTTCTCTCATTTCTCAGTCCACAAATTATCACTTTCTTGAGTTACCCATTGTTTGGTTCCAAGGACCAAAAATTTGAGATAGAATCTTAGTCAGTAAAGTAAATTTCTGGTGGGAAATGTAAAATTGTAGAAATTCCCCAAATGACAAAAAGTCTACATATGCTCACATTTCATTGTGATTTGTTTTTTCAACATTGTATTGTATGTAATATAATATTATTTTAAAAAGTGGTGGCATAAAAGGGATCAAAATTGCAAAGTTCAAACTATGTGCTTTTTTTAGGAAGGCCAAATAGCTATACCAAGCCATAAAAAACTGTTTCATTTCAAAGGTTTTTTCTGTTCAAATCTTATTAGAATTGGTATGTTAATTTTAGTAATTTATCCCAGGGAAACAGATAATTTTTAAATTATCATGATTGAATTATCATTATCAGCATTTCCAGAGTTTTTTGTATTATTTTTCTGTATTCTGATAGGTGAGCAAGATAATTTTGGAAAAATTGTCTGTATTTACAAGGAATTTCATCCTGACTCTGTAGCCTGTCCTTTCCCACTTCTCTCAGCTTTTAAAAAATATTCTGAGTGTGTTACCAGAGGTCTTTTTTTCTGGAACACTCTGCTGGGAAGAGCTGACAATCTAAACAAAAGAGAGAAAGGGTAGAAATGTCAATGTCACCATGTTGCTGATGGAGTTATGATAAACACACTGAAATCACCGATTAACCCTGGGACAGAACCAGAAATTGAACCCTGTGACCCAGTCCCTGGGTGTAGCACAATAATCTCTTTTACTAAGGAGCTTTGCCATAGGTGGCAGCAAGTGAGAGGCAGTAAAAACTGAACAATTGGCTGTTTATTTCCTTATGATGGTTTACATCTCTCACCTGTAGCACCAGCACTGAAAAACGCTTATAATCACCAGACTGAATAAAACCATTGTCTCAGACACAATCTTTTTACCTTTTAGAAACATTTAGTTTCATTATTAAGACATTTACATGACATGACACCATTTTCTTAAACCCCATAAATATTCCTGGTTCTGGTCTGAGAAAAATAGTTAATGAAATTCTGGTCCCTTCTCTAAATTGTAAATATATTTATTTTTCTACTACAGAAAGATGCCATTGTAGTGAACAAAGGAACTTCCCTCTATTATTTGTAAACTGCAGGAGGCTAAACAATCTATTGCATTATAAACTGCACTCTCACACACAGATATTCACATACACTGCAAAAGAATTCATGCTTTGTCTGGAGGAAAATGAAGTCCCAAAGGTAATTTCTGGACTGTGGGAAATAATGCCTCCTGCAGAAAATTTATAGCTATGATTGTTTAATTGAAATGAGAAATAAAGTGTTAAATGTTTTTAACAAATACATTCAATTGTTTCATGTTCTTCAACTGACTCCTACCCCTGCCAATTTATAGAAATTATAAATCCTGGTCAGAGATTCAGGTCACTTCCCAGGAGCTAGTTTGGCTAAATTCAATATATTGTTTTGATCACATCATAAAATTATTCATTGATTATGCATTTAGTTTGAACTCATTGCTGGTCTACCATGAAAGGAATAGATTTTATACCAAAGTTCATAAAACATCATTTGGGAATAGCATTGGTAAGCACAAGAAATGTTTATTTCAGTGATGTACATTAAGGGCTGTCTGAGCAGATTACTTGTCTTGAGAAGGGTCTTTTTCACCTGTGTTTAGATGAAGGTGAATGTGACAGGTGTGACAACCAAAGAGGAAAAATCCTGTGCTGCAGATCCCAAGGCATCCACTCAGTTCCTGTCCTGGCTGATACTGGCAGCCTCCTCACATGACCCTGCTGCTCCTGGGCTGGAGGCTTCAAATTGATCAGACATGATGATAGTTATGAGGCCCTTGCACACTGTTCCCTACAGGAACTGCCCTTGGCATGCTCAGCCTGATGAATTTTCTCATCTGTTAGGATGAATTTACAGTGCAGATAAGCATTCTGCTCATCTGCATGGCAACAAAATTCAACTCTACAAATTCTCTTGAATCGGAGCTGAGCACGACTTTTTTCCTGAAAAGAAAGTGTGATTTCCCAACCTGACTGCTAAAAAAAAAAACCAAAACCAAAACCAAAACCAAAAAAACACCCCAGCTTTCTGATGTCTTTTTGCCTGCATATCTGAGTCCTTCACATGCTTTCAGGGAGGTGTATTAAACCCCATGGTCTTACCTTTACTGTCCTTCCCCTTTCCAGCTGTTCTTGCCTTCTGAGGTCTATGATAATGTTTCTTTGGAGTTTGGGGGGATTATCAGCAGGTGCACAATTTCCTTTTTGCTTTAGCTTCCATGTCAGTAAGAGGAGCATAAGTGCAGCCTGCCTGTTCCACAGCAGCTGTGAGCTAAAGCTCATGCTTATAAAGCACTCTGAGCTGGGTACATGCTAATGTCAGATAAGGGTAGATTAGTGATTGTTATTTCTTTGGCTTAATTGATAATAGGAATAATTGAAAGTGAAGATAAAATTTAACCCTTTGGACTTATGTAGATTTGAGAGGCTGTATTGTTTTCACCTACTCTTTCTGATGAGGTGAGTTTTATCTCTCAGGAGTAAAAAATTGATCCCAGCAGTAACACCAAAGAAAGCTCCTGTGATGTGCAGAGGAAAAAAGAACCTTGTATGCCCTTCAGATCATCTGTCCCTTCATCCTCAAGTATGAATCCACTTTTCCTATGCATAAGACTGCCATTAAACAATGAAAAGCTCAAGGCAGTTGTGGTCTTGCAGTCACCATTTAAGGGATGTTGGGAGTCAGAGAGAAGCACTAAATTGCTTGTTTAGTGATAAGCCAAAGCTATCATTCACTGCATGGATTTTGGACCAGACAAGAGGCTTATATTAACTCTGTACTTGCAGAGATTCCTCATAGCATGGCATTTTAAATGCATTTAAATCCCCTACTGTAAACCAGTGATTCCCAGAGCAGCTTTTATTGTTGGGCTTTGAGGAGAGCTGAGAACTGTAGATGAATGATGCAGATACAACCAGGTATTTCCCTGCAAAATATCTATCCATCTATAGCTATTCAACTACTCCTGTTTAGTTAAACTAATAATTTAAAGATAACCATCAGGCATTTTTCAGCAAACCCCTCACTGAAACAATTGCATGTTTCATAGTTTCCAAAAGCTTCCACAAAAGTCAGCAGATTTATGATTTAAAGAAAAACACCCTATCACGTTCAACAGCTTGTGAAAACAAACTTCCTCCCCAGTTAGACATTCCCTGATCACAGTGTAATTTTTTTTTTAAAGGGTAATTGCTGGATAGGAACTTTGTAAATGTTTAGCTCAAGGTTTCTTGTCTCAGTGAAGTATTCTCACTGAGTGTATACTTCTGTTTGCTCTTGTGGTGCACTTGAGCTGCACTTCCAGTGTTAAATGCAGATCAGTGCAAACAGGCTGTGAAAAAAGCTGACCTTTAGCAAAGAGGAAATAGTCCCCAGCCTCCCAGTAACATAGGAACTTCTATGGAAATTCATCATCACTTCTCTAGTAACTCACCAGGCCTTTTGGGGCTGGATAATGCTTTTGAGAACTGGACCTCAGCTCATGGGGTCACAGTTTCTCCCACATATCACTCCTGGGCTTGAGTAAAGGAGCTGATGAGAGCAGATCTGGAAAAGGGGCAGGTTTTTCTCCCCAGGTAGTAAATCCAGTCTTTCAGGTAGGACTATTGCCATGATACTTGGTTTTTCACTTGGAGCCTGAAAGTGATGCGAGGAAAATACAGCACTAGAGCCAGCCCAGTGTCTGGTTAAATTTAATAGGGTCTTCATCATATTCTTGCTCTTCCTTATTAAAAAAAAATAAAAAAAATATGTGATCTTTTAGTTACACAGCCAGTCTCCATTTTCCAAATGCATGTATTTCTCTGTTATGGTCCCAATGTTTCCCTGCCCCTAGGGAACTGAGTCCACTTCAGTCAAAATAGGGCAGCAATGTTTGAACTTGCTCATATGGATTGGCTCAAACTAACAGTGACATCAAAAATGCTTTCAGTTGCTCAGCAAACCATAGCCCATATAGTGCTGCATGCTGCTTAGGAATATAACCACAGTAAAAATCAGGAAGCTGGGAGATTTCTCAGAAAACATAACTGGACTCTATTTAACTTATTCTCTGAGGTACCTTTAAAAATTCAGTTATGTAATAAATGTGGTCAGGAATTATTTGTTGAAATGGTTTATGTGTGTGTTGGAAAGTGGCACTTCATCAGAATCACAGCTTTTTTTTTTATTTTTCTGAAATATTATTCCAGTTTCAATAAAACTTTCAACAAGACATATATTTTAAATCTAAGGCAGAATTTGGTGGGGCTGGTAGATGGAGATGTCCATCCAGGAAAAGCTGGTTAGTCCAGAAAATGTGATAACAGAAATAAATTAATGCACATGGCTCGTAATTAGAATTTAACTGGACACTGAAAGACAATGGGAAGATAAATGTAATGGAACAGATTTCCAGTTGAAATAGCAAAAATATTCATCTGATAGAGCACAGATTCTTATTAATTCTTGGTTAATAAGGACTTCATGAAGTTCTGTTTGTGAAAGAGCTCAGGTGTGTGTTTGCCTCTGATGGCAGAGCAGGAAAGGGAGACACTGTCAGGCCCATTCCATTCTTGTATTTTGAAAAAGTCTTCTAAATTCTTCTCTTCATCTTGCTGCCATATGGTATCAGGCTTTGAGCTGAGATGGAACAATAAAACCATTCCCTTCACAAATTTATTTGTAAACTCAAGCTTTACACAAGCAATGAATTAGTTATCTAAATGGAAGCTAAGTCATGCCATCTAAATTTTGTGCATTTTCCTGCAGTTCCATTGGTAGTTACAGTGACATTTCTCAATTTAACAAAGCCCAGATCAGGGAACAGGGAAAACATGACAGAGCTAGCATGCAAGACAGAAATTATCAACATAAAAATCCTATAATTCTTAGAATGATATTCATCAGTAAAAGATTCTTTAGTTTCTCTTTTCTGTCTGTATATTTCTGGTCTGAAATATCTGCAAAATTTTTAAAAGTAATGCATTGTATTTTCACCAGGGGAATCTGTGAAAACCTTGAAAAGCACAATTAAAAGTGCAGTAAGGCACTTTCTGTTCCTTTCAAATAATAGACAGAACTAAGAGCATGTTATTTATTTCACAATGCTAGAACTTAATAAAAACAACTTGGTGTTCTTAGAAAAAAAGAAAAATTATATTTGGAAAAGTTATTTTATGGTGGATCACAGCAAACATAATTGTCATCACTAAATCAAAGATGGCTCTAAAATTAAATTTCAGGTCCATCAATTTTAGGCTTCTAAGAGAACATCAAATCATTTAAATTTTAAAAGAGTAATAGGAAGTGGCAGATTGTTTGTTCTATATTCTCAAAAAGCAGTGACTTCCCAAGAAGTGAGGGACTTGAGAATTAGATAGCTTATTCTGATAGTGATGTATTGAATGGAGTACTTATTTTCAAACTGATGCCAGAAAACCTGAAGATTTACAATTAATTATTCTAGAATGGTTACAGGTGCATCCTATCTGCAAAATGGTTTGTCACATCTTACATAACACAACACAGTTTTAGCACCTAAGCTGCTAACAGACTGTGGTACCTGAGAAGGTGTGCCAATAATCATCTATAGAAATGGGTATTGGATAAGGAGAATTGGCATCTTTAACATAATTAAGCAGCCAGTAATGAACTCTCATTTTTCCTGTCACCTTTGAAGACATGGCGATTCTGACAGGATACAAAGGAGCCTACTCCTTCTGACATGATTTCTGGGAGGTCAGCTCCAGTGGGATGTCCTAGCTATAGCAGTTTTAGCTGACAGAAGGAAAGAATAAGAAGGAAAAATAATATTTTAACAAGTCTTAATTTAACTTAGCTATGTCCATAAGATACCTGATGCCATGGCCATGTTATTAACTCCTCCTGCCTACACCACGCTCTCAAACAGCCCAAATCTGGCATTAAAGCCCTGACACAATTCCTGCTAAGCCTTGAAAGTTGGAATTGATGGCATTTTCCCTAAACTTATCACCACAGTTCCAAAAATACCAAGGCTTTGAACTGGCTTTGTTGTTCCTAACTTTGCCCATCTGAAAGTTAGGCCTCAGTCTAAATTGGGTTTCTGTCCATGCTTTCAGCTTTGTCAAAAGACCAGAGAGAAGGAAAAAAAACAACCCTAAAACCTATCAAAGAGAAATTTGCACATGTTATTGTGGAGATGGATTTTAGGGTTAATTCTTCCATCTCCCACTATAACCTGTCACACAAGTGGCCTAGATTAGTTGTAGGGCTTCACTTGGAAAAATGTGCCCCTGCCAAGGATGTTCTACTTGAAATCCCAGAATGAATTCCCTGTAGTGCAGAACGAGCATAGAAGCTGTGATCTGGATGGGTACCTGAAAAATCCAGCTCTAAAAGCCTGTGGTGAGGTTGAGTTGCTCTGATTATTGCTGTTTTCTATACATCACCATTTTTTTCTGATCACAGCCACAACAAGCTATCTTCTTGTGTCTTTTAGGAGAAAAGTAATCAATGTGCAAGGAATTACAGCTCTGAGAGTCCTGCTTCTCTACTGTTCTGAGGATCAAAATGGATATTTTAATGAAACTGAAATTTTAATTCTTTAATAAAAGCAGAATCATGGGTGTTGTGTCATGTGTCCTGTTACTTGACAGTGTGAATTCCTTCTGCCTGATTGCTGTCTGTGATGGCCAAGGTTTAAACTGGCAGTTCTGAGAATGCTCAGGAGAGGTGAAGGCATGGATTCATTAATTACCTGGTTTCCTTAGGAATCTTTAACTTCCATCAGTTACTTTTCAGTTTTAATTGAATTAATGCCTATTTCAATAGCACTTGAAACAGATATTTAGATTCGGATTATTTGTACTTTTGAAGGAGATGAGAGTAGGGGAAGACAGAAACATTCCTAAAGAGAAAAGGTGATTTACACTGTTATTTAGTAGCATAATTGACAGTGGTAGCACAGAGCACTGAGAAGAAAAGACATTTAACCATGCATTTATATATAGTACTACTAATCCTACTTCAGAACTTGCTTGTTGGCACTGCAGCTGTTTATTTTTAAATTTGGTTGGTTTTTTGGTTTTAGTATGTTGCAGAACCCTTCCTGTTGACACGAAGAAAAGGATGTGTTTGAGAGAAATTTCCAGCAAGAGAGAATCATCAAGGCACCACATCTGGAGCTCAGAGACCTGTGCTCAGTTTTCACCTCTGACAAGCTCTCTCGACTCAGTGTGAGCAATTTGCTTCTCCTTGGATTGCATCTGCAGATAGAAAATGAGGCC